TATTTAAAATGACATTTTTACTCATTAGTTCTTTAAAGAAGTCCTCTGTAGTAGATTTGACCAACATAGTAAACAATTTGATTTCTTGACTGCTGCTTCCCTGAGTGTTGATTGCAGATCAAAGTAAAATGAAATCCTTGACAACTTCAATATTCTCTGTTTATCATGGTCTTTCTGTTGTTCGGTTGTGTGGATTTCAGGTTTTGTTGTTGTTGTTGTTGGGGTGTACTAAAGGTTATAGTCGGGGCTTCATAAATGAATGCTTCAAGTCTTCACTTTCTCCAAGCAAAACTTAGCACTTAGTTCTTAAACTACATTCTTAAAACTTAGTTCTTGCTAAGTCTTACTGTAGTTTGGCTACCACATTCTTCTGTATATAGTCCCGTTTCTCAGGTTACTTGTTCATAATTTAGACTGAATTGTTGTTAGAATTGACTCCTAGCTGGCCCTCCCTGGGTTTTCAGAGGAAGTAAATCACATTGGAAGAGATTGCCCATCTTTCTTCCACAGAGCAGCGGATGGATCCAAACCATGTGTTTTGGGGTTAGCAGCACAACTCCTTCTCACCAAACCCCTGTGCTCCCTACAAACTGAAGAATATGGTGAAAAAGAGAAGCCTGTCGGACACCTTTTCCTGACGTTAAACCCTCCACCTTGATAGCACCTCTTTGCATCTCTCTGAGTGAGGTGAATTAATTGTGGTTTGTCTTAAAGACTCTTTTAAGCTCTACTTCCATGGACTGTTAAGAAAACAAACAGATTCATCCTGGAGAGGGTTAAATCGGGCTGCTCCTTGGAGACAAGGGTCCTGAGGCTTCGTCTGACATATTTTGGACATGTTGCAAGGAGGGACCAGTCCTTGGAGAGGGACATCATGCTTGGGAGAGTGGAGGGACAGCGCAGGAGGGGAAGACCCTCTATGATGTGGATTGATTCAGCAACTGGGGTAATCAGGATGGGTGTGTGGGAGGCAGTGCGACTGGCACAGGACAGAGCAGGATTTAGGGCTGTTATACATAGGGTCGCTATGAGTGGCAAGCCACTCGACAGCACATAACAATAACAGCTGTGATCTAGGAAGCAACTGTAAGGTTGCAGGGGAAGAAATGTTAGTGGAGTGGAAGAGAAACATTTATATCAAGGAGAAAGGTGACATTTACTAACATGCAAAAGAAAATGAGTGCAGGTAAGCTAAGGAGACTGGTTACTACCTAGTCAAAAGATGGAATGACAGAAACAAAGGAGTAGCTCAGTTAATGAAGTAGAGATCTTTTAGGTATTTCCTAAACCACTGTCTGTTACATGGCAAATGAAGTGTGCGTGTGTGAGCTAGACATCAGCAATGAAGTAAAGAGAGTTGGGTAAGGAGACTCCGGCTTATTAGGCACCTGTATTAAGAACCTTACTTGATGTCACATACTCCTTAGCTCTTTTGTTCTCACAGCTGCCCTACGAGATTGATAGTGTAGCAATTTTTATTGCGAAGAGGAAGATAAAGTTCTAAGAGATTATACACAATTTTTACGACTGAGCTAGCATTGAATTTAGTATTTTGCTGTTACTTCGTTTTTTGTTCCTCTTGTTGATTTGAACATGATTTGACCCTCAATCATTTCAGTGTCTTGCAACAGCCATTTCAAATTGTTGATCCTCCTCTATCTCTTGGTTGAATGTACTTTTCCTGGTTCTTGACACATCCTTATGTTGTTGGTGTGTGTCTTCACGTCTATTCTGACTCAGAGCAACCTGATCAACAGAGTAAAACCGCCCACACGGGTTTCTAGACTGTCCTCTTTACGGAAGCAAACTGGGAAGTCTCTTCCGTAACAGAAGCAACCTGTTTCTGGCCTATTTCAAGGCTTCTGTGGCCCTGTTGCTGGTTGTTGTTGTTGTTGTTATGAAACTGAGTAGGACCTGAAGCGCCTGCTGCAGAGGGTCAAGGACTGCAGCCTCCAATATGGATTGAGGCTCAATGTCAAGAAGACAAAGATTCTCACCACTGAGCCAATTGGCAGCATCAGGATGGATGGTGAAGAGACTGAGATTGTTCACAGCTTTAGTTTGCTTGGCTCCACAGTCAACACTCTTGGCACCAGTAGCCAGGAAATTAAAAGGCATATTTCCATGGGAAAGTCTGCTGTTAGGGACCTCTCCAAAGTACTGAAGAGCAATGGTGTCCCTTTGGAGACTAAGGTGTGTCTGATAGAGGCCATGGTCTTTGCAATCACTTGTTATGCATCAGAGAGTTGGAATTGATGCCTTTGAGCTGTGGTGCTGGAGAAGAGTATTGAGAGTACCATGGTCTGCTAGGAAAACAAACAGATTCATTCTGGAAAGGGTTAAACCAGGAGGCTCCTTGGAGGCAAGGATTCTGAGGCTCAGTCTAACATACTTTGGACAAGTTGTAAGGAGAGACTGGTCCTTGGAGAAGGACATCATGCTTGGGAGGGTGGAGGGACAGCGCAGGAGGCAAAGGTCCTCTATTAGGTGGATTGATTCAGTGATTGGGGTAATTGGGATGGGAGTGTCCGAGACAGTGTGGTTGGCACAGGACAGAGCAGAGTTTAGGGCTGTTGTACATAGGGTCGCTGAGTCGCACTATTGCTGGTATCTCTTCTATTTTTCTTTCCTTATTTTTCAAATACATATACTCTTCTTATTCTGTGGATTTCTAGATATTTCAATACATAGCAATACAATACCTTCTTGTAATCTTTGTCTCTTTCATCAGAAAGTGCTCTTCACCCTCTTTTCAAAGCTTCCAACCATCACTGACAAGTGCCTTTTGGATAATCTTACACAATCTGGGTGATTTGTCCAGATCATGAAATTATAATACCCAAGACCTATGCATCTCTTTTTCTCTCTAGAGTCTTCCTCATGTCCTCGTTTTTATTGCTAGAATTTCTATTGTTTATCTCGCCTGGAAATGTGTCCATTATCTCTGACACTCCCAAAGTTAATGCCACCCACATTCAATGAGTCACACTTGGTCCTTTCTGATATCTTCTTCATCTGTTTCCTCCTGATGAAACTCTCCCTCAGGACTTCTCTCACCTGAAAGACTGCTGCTGTCCAAGCTTCTGTTTTCTCAATTATGTATCTTATACAATACTTACACATTAAATTATCTCTCTTCCGCAGTAAATACGTTAAGTATTCTTCACTTTCTGTAAGCAAGGTTTTATCATCTGCATAATTCAGGTTGTTGATGAGTCTTCCTCCAATCCTGAGGCCACATTCTTCCTCATATAGTCCAGCTTCTTGAATTATCTGTTTAGCAGACAGGCTGAATAGGAATGGAGAAAGGATACAACCCTGATGCATGCCTCTCCTGATTTTAATCTATATAGTGGTCTCTTTTTTTTTCCCTATAATTATATTTTATTAATTTTCATAAATATTTACAGAGATTTTGGGTTTCCATTCATTCATTGTTGCACTATTCTCTCTACCCTCCTCCCAGTTTGTTCTTGTCCAAATGCCACAGTGCTTGTCAAAGCCAGTTCTCATTAATCTTCTTTGTCAGTGTGTCCTTTGCCATTCCCTATCACTCCTCCCTGAGAGAGACTTCACCCTGAGTCATAAGGAAAAGGGGATGGCGTATTCTCTACTAGTGGTCTCTTGTTCTGCTCAGACAACTGCTTCTTGGTCTAGAGACAGGTTTTACATGAGCACAATTAAATGTTCTGGGATTTCCATTCTTCTCAATGTTACCATAACTTGTTACGTACACACAGTCTTCTGTAGTAAGAGCAAAAGATCAAAGGCTCCAGTTTTCTACATGGATTACATTTCAACCACTGCAAGCAAAAAAAATTCTCATCGCTGGATCAATAAGCAACAACAGGAAGAGATGAAAAAACATAGAAGTTGTCAGCAATTTTCTTTTACTTGAGTCCAAAATAAACACACAGGTTAACAGCAGTCAAGAAATGAAAAAAAAAAAAATGAATTGCATTGGGAAAAATCTGCTGTCAAGGACCTCACTAAGGGTTAAAAAGCAAAGGGTAAAGTTTGCCTGAGTCAAGCCACAGTCTTCTCAGTTACCTCCTATGCATGAATATCGGACAGTGAATAAAAACAACAAAAGAACTGATGGCTTTGAATTGGGATGTTGGCAAAGGATACTGAATATCCCATAGACTGCCATAGTACAAACCAATTTATCCCGGACAAAGCGCAACCAGGATGTTCCCTAGAGACAAGGCCATCTCACACACTCTGGGAATACTGTCAGGAAGGGCCAGTCAGTGGTCAAAGACATCATTCTGGGAAAGTTGGAGGGGTGGTCAGAGAAGGAGAGGGAAACCTTAAACCAAACGGACTGGCACAGTAACTACAGCATGGCTCGGGCATGTTGGAGATAGGGAGGACTGCACAGAATAGGGCAGGGTTTCAGTGCACCAGTCACGGGGTCGCGATGAGTAGTAATAGACTTGAAAGCACATGGCAACAAGTAATCTGTGAGCACAGCTGCCTCAGATGACTAATGAATGAAACTCAGACGACTTCAACTGACCGCAGAGGTTCCCTTGACCTCCCCTCAGCCTGTCTTCTTTTTTATTCCCCCCCCCTAAAAAAATCACCTTCTCTTTAATACCAACCCTCCCCAGGATCCAGTTGCCCACCCTGGGAGGGAAGGGACAGAAAAAGAGGGCCACCACCTCCTTTTCCAGGAAATAAGGTCATTTGCCCATAATCTTGGGGATAGATTATTGTTCCAAGTCACATGAGGGCCAGGTTCAGTGCTGTCCAGGGCAGAGGGCCGGGTTCTTGTGGATACAGTTGCCTTCTCTCGTTTGTGCTGTTGCTTTTCGAGACTTTCCCGGACTTTCTCCCTATGCTCTTCATCCATGACCTTCCTCTTCCTCTTCCCCAGGCTGGCTGTGGAACTGCGGCCCTTCCGCTTTGGCTTTGGTTGGAAGGGCGCCTTGGCTTTGGGGTCATAGCCCAGCCTCTCTATCCACTCCTTCTTTGCCTGCTCCGGAGTAATGACGTCAACCTCTGCCGAGGTTCCGTGGGTGCAGACGAATGAGCTCTGCAGGTATCTTCAGCAGGATCTTCACCTCCCACTGGCGCTGCTTCCGGCTCCTGTAGGGTTTATTCTCAAGGCCATCAAAGTTGGGCTCAGCAGTTCCAGGAACCAGCATGCTGGTGATGCCTGCACTGTGTCCCACTCCTAAAACATCTTCAAAGGGGCAGAACTGAAGGCCTTGCACATGGCCCAGGAGCCGGTGGGGTGACGTATGGCTGCTCCAGAGAGGGTGGGCTGCCTTTGCCCTGGCCTGCCCGTAGGTTGACCATATCGCCCATCCCTGCAGCCAACAGTCCCCGCTGGGAAAAGGCCAAGTGCCCTGCTCCCTGGGGCAATGTCTGAGCGCTGAGAGGCTGGAATGTTCCTCACAAGTCAAAGATCTTCAGCTTGTGGTCCAAGCCAGAAGTGGCCGTGTACGTGCCTGTACAGTCTACTGCCACAGCCCGGACCCCACCACAGTGACAGAGAATCTTAGCCAGTGGCTCTTTCACAGCTGGGCTCATAAAGACACAGTGCCACTGCTGTGTTGTGACAGCTTTGAATGCTCGTGCTGGACGCCTTGAAGTCATGACTCAGCCTGCCTTCTAAGCCATGATGTCCACGCACCTTCACACGCCCACAGTTCACACCTTGAGAGCGATTTGTTCAAGCTGGTTTTCTACTCTGAAGGCATTTCCTCACCCTTTTATAGACAAATGAGTCTTTCTCCTAATTCTAGGCCTCATTTAATGCTATACTCGCTTTCATGAATTTTTCTCCATGAACCCTCTTAATCATAAAAATTTCTCCAATTTATGAATCCCCACTCTATTTTTAATTACTTTTATCCTTTTTAGTTTTTATTTCATGCTCCACCCCTCACCTCCTTTACTAGTGATCTTGAAGGCCAGGAGTACACACAGCTTGTCATAGCACCTATTTGTATTGATTTTCTTTCTAAAACGCAGATATGATCTCCTTATTCTCCTGTTTTTCTATTAGGTAAGATCCAGACTCAACAGCATGCCAAGCATGGTCTTCCTCACGCTGATGGCAGTTCTCCATTCTTGTGTTTTTCTTCTCCAGCCCCTTAAACATGGGAGGGCCAGCACCAACAGGCCAGGTGTGCCTCCACGCTGGGCCTTGTCTCTGCTATTCCTGCCATGATCTTCCCTTCTTCTTCCTCCCTGGATAAAATCCCAAGCCACCATCTAGATATAGCTCTGGTATCACCTATTCTGCGAATTCACATCCCTCCCCCAGGCTGGACGTTTTCATTACTTCCTAGAAGCTTCCCTGACACTCTACACTGGTCTCCAGCTCTGCATTCTCACAAGTCACATGTGCTATTTGACTTCCTCCTTGATAGTAACAAAATCAATGCCTCATCGCAATCCTTGTGTTCCCAGTGCCAAGTGAGGAGCCTTTCAAGTGATCGCCATTTTTGAACAAATGCCCTAACATATAAAGGAGTGAGTGATTGAACGAAGAAATCTAAGTTTATATTAACTAATCTGGATTTGCTTTAGGATGTAAAAGATATAAAATTTTTCTTTGTAGATTCAAATTCCCAAAATTTAGTCTTTAACATCCTAGCTCTTGAGCAGTTTAAATAGTTCCTTGACAGCAGATTTTCCCAGTGTAACATCACTCTTGGTAACAGCAGGCGGGAAATCAAGAGACGAATTGCGTTGGGAAAGTCAGCTGTGAGGGACCTCTCAAGAGAACTGAAGAGCAATGACGTCAGGCTGGAGACTAAGGTGCGCCTGATCAAGGCTATAGTCTTTGCAATTACATGCTGTGCATCAGAGAGTTGGAGAATGAATAGGGATTATAGAAAGAGCACTGATACCTTTGAGCTATGATGCTGGACAAGAGTATTGAATATAGCA